GCTGCTTCTGTGTGTAAAAGAGGACCTTTTCTGTTCCTCCTTGTTCTACCCTTCCCCTCCCTCTTTTCTTCCCTCTCTTTCTCTCTCCTTCCTTCCCTTTGTATCTTTCATATTTCATATATCTGTGTTTTGCTAGAGGCCAACATTTTTTGAGCGTCCTCCCTCCTTCCCACACCACTAAGTCAGTTTGTGCATTAGTGTTAGATCTTGGACCCACTGCCATTGGCCTCATATATTGTCCCAGTCACACCATTGTCACCTGTATTAAGCGGGGGTCTAGTTCGGTCTTATGCAGGACCCCCATTTGTCAGACCTGAGTCAGTGATCTCTCACTAGCTCAGGTCAGCTGATTTTGTGGGTTTCCCCATCACGGTCAGCATTCCTTTGTTTATATTATCACTCCTCCCTCACTTTGATTGTACTCTAGGAGCTTGGCCCATTGGTTAGTTGTGGATTTCTGCATCTGCTTCTGTCTGTTTCTGGAAAAGGGTTCAAGCTTCTTTGGGGTTGTCGATTGTAGGCTGAGTATCTTTTGCTTTATGTCTGGTATCCACTTATGAGTGAGTACATGCTATATTTGTCTTTCTGGTTTTGGGTTACCTCACTCAGGATGTTTTTTTCTAGTTCTGTTCATTTGCCTGCTAAGTTTAGGATGTCATTGTTTAAGAACAACACTTTAAACCTGATTTATAAACAGACCTGCCTGCCTGCCTGCCTGCCTGCCTGCCTGCCTGTCTGTCTGTCTGTCATCCATCCACCCACCCACCCATCCATCTATCATCTATCCATCTATCATCTGTCTATCTATCTATCTATCTATCTATCTATCTATCTATGTGGGCTTTTAAAAGGAGTTCCACTCATTTAGATACAAGTAATACATTAGTCTGGAAACGCTGACCTAGTTCTCACCTTTTATTCTATAGATGGGAGATAGGTCCCTCTGTTAATTGACATGACCTTATTCTTTCCATTTACACAAAGTCATCCAGATGTCTGTTTTCTCACCTGGAAGGTGCATTGTATTCTGATCCACAGGGTGTTGCTCAGGTCATGATTCAGTCTTTTCACTTGTCATCTTGTGCAGTGTTCAACGCCCAAATGCAGGACGTAAGTCCGCGTGCTGTGGGAGGTGCCTTCTGTTTTACTAGTGCTTTCTCTGACTCACATGTGCCTTTCGTTATTAACCTCATTGGCTGAAATGTAGAATGTTGAGAGCTGATGCCAATAATAACAGTAACGGTAGTCTGGCACAAACTTAGTACTAGCGGTTTTCTTCAGAGTGTTCACATCTAGTTCTCACTGGCACCATCCTCATGTAGGGATGGAGTGTATACATCCTTTCTCCAGATACAGTGAGTGGCACAGAAGACCAGTGATCTGCTGCTATAGACCAGTGTGCTATATGGCATCAGCAGGAGAGCTGGAAGCAGAAACAGAGTGGAGGACTCTGTTTTTCTGCCTCCCCACCATAGATTTTAACTTGAAATTTTCATGATTTTTTAGGAAAAGTAAATTATCTTCCTGCTAGAGTTTTATAAACTTTGCACATGTGAGAAATTGAATGCTGTGATTAGATTTTTATCTTTGTGTGAAGTGACATTTTGATTATGTACAATTTAGATGTCTTGATTATGGATATGGTCAGAAAAGCCATGGTAAAAGTAGTGATTTTACTTCTGGTTAGTTTGTCTCCATTTATTCAAATTGTCAATAATAAGTATTGAAGTGTTATTATTACTGTAGTTTGAAATTATGCCTGAAATTCTAAACTGTATTCTTTCTCACAGTTCCCATAGGGAAGATTAGCCAATATAACATAACAAATTTTGTTTGTGATGTTTGGTATATACTACTGAAGTAGATAGAATACAGCTTGATTTCGGCCTTTTCTGTTTCCCCCATTTCCAAATTAGATTTAAAAAGTAATTGGCATGTACTTTTTTTTAAACAAGAAATTATGATTTATAATCCTTTTTCTGATCATTACCATTTTTGAGTAAATCTGTTAAGTAATCAAATTTCATAAAGTAGTCCAACTTGTCAAACTTTTGATAGTTTTTAGGACACAAAGCTGTAGTTTTAATACTTAGAGTTAGTTCAGTTATCTGATAAAATTATTTATCAGAATTTGAACTTGTACTTTTAAAGGTCACTGACTTCATATGAGGCTATTTTTAGAAATGATTTTTGGATTTTTTAGTTTGGGTTCTTTTGTTGTTGGTTTTTGTGACTTCTGCTGATAACCTCATAGGTATTTTTAAGAGGCAGAATGTGACTCATGCAGACTTCTTAGAATGTGAAATTTCTCTTAGTTTCTGTTCCTAAGAGCACTTTCTAGTTACAAATTCTACTGCAAATGTATTGTATTTGGCTTTTGAAATTGGGAAATTTAATGAATGGGCAATAATATTAAAATTACATTCATTTGAAGTAAAGTATACTAATTTGTATGAAAGGGTCTTTTTCAGGTAATTTTTAACTTTAATTTAACTATTTGTGTGGTGTCCTCCATCTATGTCGTCATTTAAACTCTGTTTGTATATTCAGCTGTGAGGCAGCCTGGTTCCTTGCTAGCTTCTGTCAGGAAGCACGCCCATACTGGCCTGTCACTACCTGCCTTGACTTTGACTTGTTGATCCTTAGTTTGCCTTCTGGGGCTGTTCTTACTGAGTTTAGTTAGTTGCACTGTACCTAGCAGTGCCCAGCATGTGCCGAGTCAGCCTGTATAGCAGTGCCTCGCATTATTGAATACCTCAGGAAAGTTCTCTTTGGACTAAACTCTCACCTTGTATAATCCAGATCTTAAGGGCAGTGACATACCCACAGATAGCACAGACAGAAATCATGTACTTTGTGGATAACTTTTATTTACCTTTTTGTTTCACATATTTATTGGTTTGAGTTTATGCTTTGGTATTTGACTTCTGAGTCTAAATGTAAAGTCAGCATGTATGCTAGTTAAGCATTTATGCAGATATCTTAAAAATCTTCAATGCAACCCAATGATACAAAAGAATCCTTTACTGTATCTCCAGATCAAACACTTACTGAACAGGTTTACATATGGAAACCTTGTGTCAGATTAAAAGGAACACTACTTTTATTACAAATATTTGTTGTAGGAAAGAGTATAAGTCCCTTTATTTGTTGTAACTGCTTAAAAGATTGGCATGCAGATTTTGCATCTCTTGAATAAAATCTAAGAGGCTTTATTTATTCTAAATGATTAAATAAATAGAAGGTTTTTTGTTTGTTTGTTTGTTTGTTTGTTTTTTGAGACAGGGTTCTCTGTGTAAAGCCCTGGCTGTCTTGGAACTCACTCTGTAGACCAGGCTTAAAGAAATATGCCTGCCACTGCCTCCCAAGTGCTGGGATTAATGATGTGGGCCATCACCCGGCACTAGTTGTATTTTATAGTCAGTTAACTACTCTTTCTTTCTACTAGTGTGTGTTTGGATTTATAGTAAAACATACATGACTATGCTGAGGAAATGGTGGTGACATTTGCAAATTTGCAATTCCACATTACTCCCTCACAACAGCCTGATATGACCAACTCCAGAGGCACTGTCATAGGCCAACTCTTGGAGGAGTTTGCCAGCCTATGTACCTTAAGGACTAGGCTGGTGGTAATCCAGATATTGTTGGACTCTGTCCAAGTCCCAAAGAATCGTTCTGAAATAGAGCTGGGACTAGAATGTTTCCTGGATGCACCGAAAAAAGGACTGTAGATTAAGTATTGTTTCAGCCCTAAAGTGGAAACCTACATTTTTGTATGTTCGTATCCTTGGAACTATACATTATCTTCTATTACTACCAAAAGGGGATAGAGATCCAGATTTACCCTTTTTGTTTGTTTTTTTGAGATTGGGTTTCTTTATGTAGCTTTTTGGAGCCTGTCCTGGAACTCGCTCTGTAGACCAACCAGGCTGGCCTTGAATTCACAGAGATCTGGCTGCCTCTGCCTCCTGAGTGCTGGGATTAAAGGCGAGTGCCACCATTGCCTGGTTGAGACTTACTTTTTTTAAAGCATAAATTTGGCAAATGGTAGGCATTAAGCAAATGTTTGTTACGTGAATTAGTGAGTCTCAAATGCATTGGTAGAATTCCTTCATTATAATACTTTCCTAGCCCTAAGCTATATTTCTCTAACCTTCAAACTTGTTTTTTTAGGCACCGGTTATAGATGATAAGCAATGTCCTCTGCTATCAGTTCAGGAAAGGTCTTTCTACCTCGGTCTATTTCTTAGAAAAATGGAGTTAAACGTTGTGGTGATTGTTTTTGTTGGTTTGTTGGTTTGTTTTTAGTTGCCTCTATTCTTTTTTTTTTTTCTTTTGTTTTTTTTTTCGAGACAGGGTTTCTCTGTGGCTTTGGAGGCTGTCCTGGAACTAGCTCTTGTAGACCAGGCTGGTCTCGAACTCACAGAGATCCACCTGCTTCTGCCTCGCAAGTGCTGGGATTAAAGGCCTGCGCCACCAACGCCCGGCCCTTAGTTGCCTCTTTTCTTAAAAGGAATTTCTTGTTTACTCTTATTCTAGTTATACAATAGTGGAACAAAGGTTCTTTTTCAGAAGTTGTAATTTTATTATCTTCCCAAAGCTGTTAATGAAATAGGACATTTTAATTATGAATGGATGTATACTTTTTATGTGTGTCATTCTTACTAGTGAATTTAGAATGTTGTACATTCTAATACTTTTCTATATTTGAGTTAGGAGACCAATACATTTGTGCTATATCTGCACAATATAATTTTAGTGATTTTTAAATCCCACCAGCTTTATAAACTTCACTTAGAAATCTTCACCACCACCAGGGATACAGTTCAGTGCTGGAGTACTTACTTGCCTTACACGCACAAGGCCCTGGGTCAGTCTCCATCACTTTTCCCTAAAGAGAAGAGGAAACTTCATTAACCACTAATACATAGGTACTGCATAACGGAATCTTTAATTCAGTAGATAGGTATTAACAGATGGTTAATTGTGTCTATTAGGAACAAGAATTTGTTCAGAAGCAACAACAAGAATTAGATGGCTCTCTGAAAAAGATCATCCAACAACAGAAGGCAGAGTTGGCTAATATTGAGAGAGAGTGTTTGAATAACAAGCAACAGCTTATGAGAGGTATGTGAAAGTCCACAGTGTGTGTGTGTAAACAAAAAAATGTCTCAGAAACATTGCCTTGAGGTGTGCATTTCGGAGTATTGAGTGCTTTCTCTTTGCTAGGGTGGCAAATGGAAAGATAAAGTTAAAATAGCAGGTTCTCTCTCTTTTTTTTTTTTTTAAATTAAGAAGTACTGTGAGATACAGTAGAAGTGTCTCTAAAAGTGCTCAAAACATGCAATGGGGATGTAGCTCAGTGCGAGAGTATGTGCTTAGTGTCCACATGGCGCCCTCAACTCAGCACTTCAGAAACAAAGGCCCTGCCCAAACAAACACATAACCCAACTTAAAACATGTCATTCTATCTGAGTGATTTTATATAATAATTATGCCTTATAATCACCAATGTAAGTATATCATATATAATGAGAAGATGATAGGATGGAATTTTAAGTTCTTATTCCTCCCAACAGATTAGTTTTTCTTTTCTTTTTCTTTCTTTTTTTTTTTTTTTTTCCCATTTTAAGGTGGGATTTTGCCATTCCTGGTAGGAAATTCTTAGTTTAGGACATTGAAAATAAAATAAAAAATGATAATAAATGCTATTTTACATTGGTAACATTTTTATACCTTAGAATGTCTATTTGTGTGTATAAGCTAGTATATATAAATCACTTCAGTGTAAATATTAAAATGAAGAATGTTGGACATTAGTTAGAAGCAAGTGACATTTTGCAAACCACTTCCTTGTAGCTCGAGAAGCTGCGATTTGGGAGCTTGAAGAGCGACATTTACAAGAAAAGCACCAGCTGCTTAAACAGCAACTTAAAGATCAGTATTTCATGCAGAGACATCAGCTACTTAAACGCCACGAGAAGGTGAATGAAAAGGAAATTTCTTTGCTTCTTAATTCACTTTACTTTACAAAGTTATTCAGTTTTGTAGTTTAATTTCTCAGAGAGTAGATTGGTTTTATTTCTATCTTTTACCTTATTTTTTTTGAGTTTGTGATTATAATCTTTATTTTGAGTGCAAACTTTTCTAACAATCACAGTGTTTTAACGACCTAATAAATTGTCATAATCATCTTCTATCTCCCTGGTTCTGGTTGTGACTCAAGTATCTTAAGAACATGTCTTTCGTGAGATTGGGAAAAAGTTTTGTTATAACACTTCTGTCATCTAATAACTCTTCTTTAAATAGTTTTTGCCTAATATTTTGTTGCTTATTATGCAGTTAGGGAGAGGGCACATATTGGAAACACTAACAAATGACGTCTTGGAACATGCCTGTGGATACTGAGAGTCAAGTCTGTTTAAATCTTAGGAAACAGAACAAATGCAGCGTTATAATCAACGACTTATTGAGGAATTGAAAAACAGACAGACTCAGGAACGAGCGAGACTACCCAAGATTCAACGAAGTGAAGCCAAGACACGAATGGCCATGTTTAAGAAAAGTTTGAGAATTAACTCAACAGCCACACCAGACCAGGACCGTGAAAAAATTAAACAGGTGCTTAGACAGGTTCTTTTCTTTCCTTTTTCGGGGTTTAACTAATTTGAATGAACTTTAAAAGAACCTCATAATTGGTTTTAGTCATGTAGTCTTACCTTGCGATTGTTATTTTAACTTTCTGGGATGTCCTATACCAACTTAGTCTTCTGTGTGTGGGACCATAGAGGGCAAAGCTGTCTCTCCCTTGACAGATCTTAGACCATGGAATGAGATAACTTGGACAGCTTTTGAAGTCAAAACACATTTCCACCCTGTGACACTTCTGCAGCAACAGATGATCTTCTGCTCCTGGAGATCATTAAACAGCTGGAACCCAGAGGCTTTAACCCAGCAGTCATTTCCTGTCCCTTTACCTCAGTCTTACAGGCTACAGGTTTGAGTTAGAGTGTAGGGTTACAGCTTTAGTTTACTGTTTTGTAAGCTTTACCAAATTCCTTTATTTATGTAATGATTACACTGCTTCCTAACTAAATTATCTTTTGCTTTTCTTATTTATAGTTTGCTGCACAAGAAGAAAAGAGGCAGAAAAACGAGAGAATGGCTCAGCATCAAAAACATGAGAGCCAAATGCGGGATCTCCAGTTGCAATGTGAAGCCAATGTCCGAGAACTGCACCAGCTTCAGGTGAGGTTCAGGAGCCTGACAATGGGACATAGTGGCCAGGCAGTTTGTGTGGCTGATGTGGAGAAAATACGAGCTAACCACAAGTTTGCACATGTTGCTTAAGAAAGGGCTAGAGCATTGAAAGTGTGTGCAGTGCCAAAGACCTTGTTTTTATTTCATGTGACCAGGGTGAATGTGGGCATGAAGTTAAATAAAAACCTGAGGAATAGTCTTTGAAAGCATTGTCAAATATGCTTTTTAGCATTGGATGATGGTGTATTTAAGATTCTGAATTTAATTTTTTTTTTAATTTAAAAGGATATGACTGACTGTGGTTTTGTGAATGGTAAACATTTGGAAAATTTTTCCAGTGGGAAATTAGACTTTAGAGAGGGCTATTTTTGGAATTTATATGGAATGCATAGTCCATCTACTGAAAGCCCAAAAGGCTTACATTTCAGAGTAACAGAGGTAATTTTGACACTCTGTATATTTGGTTAATTTACTGTAATAGAATACTTACTAATTCCAACTCTTTAACAAGTGGAAAAGCAAAAACCCAAAGTATTTCCACTTAAGTTTTTTTTTTTTTTAACATATGTTATGTGAACAGCTTTACATGATGTTTCGTATTTTTTGGGAGAAGATATAAAAGTTTCAAAACTAGTGAAGGTATTTATACACTTATAGAACAAACAGACTATTTAATAACCCTTGGCACTTAGTTTTTAAAGGAGAGTTTGAACTTCCATAACAGCATGATATCTAGCCAATAATTTGCCACTTTGAAAGAAAATTGAATCTGTTAAAAATTGCTCCATTGACCTGAAAAATATTTACTACCAATTTTATTTTCAGAATGAAAAATGCCACCTGTTGGTTGAACATGAGACTCAGAAACTGAAGGAGTTAGATGAGGAACACAGCCAAGAGTTAAAGGAGTGGAGAGAAAAACTGAGACCAAGGAAAAAGGTAATTTAAGAGCTATACCACAGTGCTATGTGTGGTTCATCCATTACCTGGCTACTGGGTCTTTACTTTGTGTCAGGTACAGTGACCTGATGGATACAGAGATGAAAAGACAGTGTAGTGTCCCTATTCCCAAAGTCCAGGATATTTGGGAGAAGTGATACAAGTTGGGGGATCTTTTTTAGGGGTATGTTAGAACTGGATGCATGGGAGCAGAGCACGTGAGCACACGAGGACGTTGAAGACGTAGAAGCCCGGTGGGTGGGGTATGAAGCATGGAAATAACTTGCAGGCAGGTGGGTAGACTGGGAAGGAATGGGACAAGCAGAGAAAAGAGAATGAGCATGAACATTGCATGTGGAAAATGATAAATCGTTCCCCTTGGAGCGTAGTGTAGGACATGGGGCACTAGGGAGGAGCACAGGAAGAAAGCAGTGGCAGCCAAGTCTGCTTGCTGTCAGTAACAAGGTCCTTGAATTAAACTTAGGATACAAAACATAAGAATGGCTTATTTCCTCTTTCCTTCCATTTCCCTTGTTTGTAACTGGACTTCCCTGCTGGCCAGGTTTCATTGGTTAACCACTGTGTCTCTGGCTGTTACTCCACATCCCTTTGTTAACCTTGCTTTTCTTGTGAGCTTTCTGTCTGGTGTACATCTCAGTGATGGTGATACATGCCTGAAATCTAAACACTTGGAAGCTGGAGGCAGGAGGATCAGAAGTTCAAGGTCATCCTCAGTTACTTGATAAATTCAAGGTTAGCCTGGGCTACATGGAACCCAGTCTCAAAAAGAAGGAAAAACAAGTTAAAAGGGGGTGAGGTGTGTGCCTCAGTGTCTCCGTACTTGAGCCACAGGTGGTTAATGTTGCTTTGACTGTTCATTAGTGCTGTTACTACTGCTATTTTGAATCGGGGTTTGCTTGTATCCCATGCTGACCTCAAGCTTGCAGCATTCCCACCTTCTGCTCCCAGTCCCATCAAGTACAACATCAGTCCTGCAATTTGACTTTGAAGCCTTCACAGTGATACACTTGAGCTTTAGCCTTCTGACCTTGTCTCCCATTGGACACTTTGTTCTCAGTGTGCTGAGAGTGAATAGAGTGGCCCGTCCTTCTGCCACCTCTGTCTGTGCATCACTGCTTGGGCTTCTCCTATCTGGTATGCCTTCTCTGTCCTGTCTATCAATTTCTGACATGGCTTCATGTCTAAGTTCATGTTTTACATCTTCTGAGAAATCTTCTTGTACTTTGTTTCAACCTAAACAATAGCACTTTTCTTTAAATGACTTACCTACAGTCTTAGATTCCTGTCCATTCAGTTCACTATAACAAAATATTATAGGATAGAGGTTTGAGAAGTCTATGTCCAGAGTTGTGGCATGCTCAGGTTCTAGTGAGGGCTGCCTTCTTCAGGAAAGAACTCTCTGCTTGCCCCTTAAAAGAATGCTAATCTCATTTGGAGGGCTCCATTCGTGTGACCTAATCACTACTCAGTAGGTTAACCTCATGAAATCATCAGGATTAGGTTTCAACAAAGTCAGCTCTTTATCAAACACTTAGTATTTTTGGTGTGTATTGTGGGGATATAAGATGAATCTGGTTTAGCTTAGGTTTATATGTCTTGTAGTTCAGTGTGGGAGAAAGATATGTATGTCAGTAACTGGCACAAAAGTACGTGACAGTTACTGATAGGTGTCACCTGCTGGGTGCTTAGACTTAATGATCACTTCGCATGCCAACAAAGGAAGTTAGGTGTTGTCTTTCTTCTGTAGCAGGGGACTAATTGAGCTGAGTCTTGAACCTGGGGCTGTGAAGTGTGTGGTCTTAATTACTGAATAAAATGGGGCTAGGAGGTTTTTTGTTTTGTTTTGTTTTGTTTTTGTTTTTTGTTTTTCGAGACAGGGTTTCTCTGTGTAGCTTTGGAGCCTATCCTGGCACTCGCTCTGGAGACCAGGCTGGCCTCGAACTCACAGAGATCCGCCTGCCTCTGCCTCCCGAGTGCTGGGATTAAAGGCATGCGCCACCAACGCCCGGCTGGTTTTTGTTTTTTAAGATGAAAAAGTTATGTGTGTGGGGGGCTATATAGTTCATGTGGATACAGGCACCTATGGAGGCCATCAGGTCCCTTGGAGCTGGAATTACGGCAGTTGTGAGCCTCCTGGTGCAGGTGTTGGGAACTGAACTGGTCCTCAGAAGAGACATTGAGCCCTCCCTCCATATCCCGGGCTGTCGGAGTAAATTCTGTGGACAGTGCATAATTGTTTGTCTCTTTCTTCTTAAGACACTGGAAGAGGAGTTTGCCAGGAAACTGCAGGAGCAGGAAGTGTTTTTTAAAATGACGGGGGAATCCGAATGTCTTAATCCATCAGCACAGAGCCGAATCTCCAAATTCTACCCTATTCCCACCTTGCATTCCACTGGGTCATAGCAATAGCAAGCATTCTGTCTGGATGTGGCTTCTGAGTACATCATTGTATTCTCTTCATCTTCCACAGTATGTATGACTCACAAAGACAATCGCCTGTTTCATCTTCTCAGTGGTTTTAAAAATGTATTTCTTGGATTTTATTGTTAAACAAAGATGAAGGGCAAACAAACTAAGACAGATGCTAGGCCATGTTGGCAAATAGCATCTTCAGTAATTCCCTAAGGTGACTTTGTATATTGACCTTAAATATTGTATTCTTTAGACACTGTTACTAAAAGACTGCCAGAGAAAATAATGTTTAAAGTTATTTGTGGGAAAAAAAAACCAAACCTGTTACATCACTTAAGTATTAATAAATACTGTTTTGCCTGGTTTCTCAATGATGCTAAATTCTCTAGTTAAGATTCTGCTGTAGAATTGGAGTAATTTTCTTTTGGCAAACCAGCTCGTATTTAAAAAGCCATGAGTTACAGAAATATGATATTGATTCAGTACATAGATATATTTTTATCATTAAATAGGATCAAGGTCTTTTCAAAGAGAAAGGTTATTCAGTAATCTGTCACAAACATTAGCCTGTATGGGCAGGAACTAGTAATTGAGGTGCTAATTTTATTAAGATAGTGCCTGAAACACTGAATTTTAATCATGTATAAAGTGGGGTTTTCTTTTTGACCAACAGGAACAAAGTACCCTTCTCACTGAACATTACTGTCTTAAGAACTTGCATATATTGCCATTCAATATTCATTTTAAAACAAATGTTGTGCAGAGTTTGGGAAGATGAACAAGCTAGCTTTCAAATCTGCAGATTGAACATACAAGACTCACCGCATTGTAGGTAGCAGACTGAGCCCTCCCACTTATTCCCTCATAATAAGCCTCCATTTCAGCAAGTTCTGTCCCTCAGTGGGTGCTTAGAGGCCTCTGGCCCAGGGCTGCAGTCACACCTACAGTCTGAAGCTAGTCTTAGAAGAAGCATTTGTCCACAAAGGATTTCCATGCAGTTGCAGGCACACATGCAAAGTGACATGGTATTGTTTCAAGTGAGGTTATTCAACTGCATTTTGGTTTTATTTTGTTCCATGTTTAAATTAATTACTCTGAGTAGGAAAAACCTGAAACCTTTATCATGTGGTTGCCGGCACACTCTTAGTTCCTTTTGAAGCTCAGAATCTCAGCCTCGTCAGGTCAACAGTATTATAAACAGCACATTTGTGAATGATGTGCCTGCTTGCCTGCCTGCCTGCCATTGGCACCCTCTGCTCCTCTAAGAGTGCCGGGTACCGAATTGTAGATGTTTCACTTTTGAGTTATATTTTGAGGTTGATGAAAATAGAAATGGCAATGTAATGTTGTGGGAACACCAGTTCATATTAAGAAAATGTAGATGTCTGTAGTACTTTTTTGCAGGTTATTTGAAAACTTTGGATGCCGAACTTTATCTGGTTTAAAAATGCTTGTGTAATTTTAATTTTATAATTATTTTGACAAGCTTAATTTTCCTGGACAACCTTGTAGGTAGCCTTAACTTTCAGCCAATTTTGTTTTTTTTTAATATAAATATATATACATATATATATATATATATATAATGTATGGTTGTAAATTCATACACTTATCACACGAATGTGTTACTGTATACAGAATTCTTAATGCTTTATTTTCAGATGCTGGGTTGAAAACTCTTTGAAAGCCTTTAAATATATATCTTTATAAAGTAATATTCAGGATGATGATGGAAATGGTTTATATTATTATGATAAAAGATGGAATTATGTTGCCCAGTGTATTTAATGATTTATTTGAAGAGGGAGAGGGGAGGAAGGCTCTTAAATGCCACTTTCTCCTTTGAGTTTTTCAGTTTATTGGATTTTTACAAAGGAATACTTCAGTCAGTGGGCTTTATTTTCAGTATCATTTGGGGAATTGTAGACATGATTTGGTCTGAATATCTGCCCTTCCTGTGTCTTTTCAGCTTGACATTAGAGCATTGTGTCTCAGAAGGAGGCTGGAAGGGGTATCCCTGAAGCCTGCCCTCCAGATTCCCTGCTCCTGCTTGAGTTTTCTTTCAAGCATGGCTGTATTCCTGTGGGTTCAGGACTGTCCAGTGGTACACATGGAGGGGGGGACATGCCTCTAACCCTTCAGGTTATATATACAAAGTGTTTTGTAATAGAACACGCTGTTTTTGAACTTGCCTGCTTCTTGTAAGGCCTTATGCCATGTAGATAATAGGAACCCGTCCTCCTGCATGAAGTGTAGGTGGGATTTGCTAAGGGCACAGATGTCTTTGAGTCAGAGAACAGTCAGCCCATCAAACCCCCGCCCCCCATGAAGTTGTTTGGTTGCTGTGGCAGAGTGTGCCATTATGCCATGCAGTGCATAAGAGAAATTCTCTATGTGTGTACCTTCAACAGTCCCTTCCCCTTTCCCTGCATGCTGTGGACACGCCACACCTCCACCACACTCCGCAGGTCCAGCTCCTAGAGCTTAAGCACAGGGTTTCCATCGGTCTGTGGATCTGCAGGTTGCTGAATTAGCTGCTGTTTTAGGTGGAGTAAGCTCGTTCTTACCCTTTTCTGTGGGTGAGGAGGGATTTAGAGGCTTTTACTTTGCTGAAAATATTGGAACCTTCCCACATGACAGGACGTGGCACATTGTAACTAAGTAAGAAGCAGAACCAGAGCTACCTCTAAGCAGTGTTCTCTCAAGCACACGCTCTCAGGCACTTGAGACCCTCCCCGTGGAAGTGTCTCTGAATTCTTGAGCATCAGCAAGTCTAAGAAGTGACTGTTTTTGTACTCTTCAGGTCCCCAGTCCCCTCGTACTTTCCCCATTCCACACTGTGCTTATTATATGACAAAGCCTCTTCTAACAAGCCCCATTTGGCCAAATTAATAGGTAGAAATACTGCAGAACAAAGCGACGCCTGGAACTGCAGTAGAAGAAGAGGTGTCAGTTGCAGTAGCCTTCTGGTCCTTTGTGGGAAGTGTTCTGCAGGCTGTGGGCGGTATTCCAGTGCTTCTCTGATGGCAGAGGTGACAGCTAATGCCTCTGCTCTCACTGTTCTTTGGCTGATGTGGTTTTGATAATGCTTTAAAATTTCTGCTACAAAGCTTGGGATAGTGTTTTACAGTTTCAAATGTTGGCTGCCTGCAGCTTAAAAATGTGATTCTTTGCAGTGTAATAAGTTCACAAGCTACATTTTAAAGAGGATTTCATTTCACATTATGCTTCTTGTCTACTTGGGATCAGAAACATGCCTTTTCACTCACGGATTGTCAAACAATAAAGTTGTTTCTTAATCTATTTTGGGAAGCTTTTTTTTTTTTAAATTAAAAATCTTAGACATGAAATTGTCCTGTCTGAAACACTTGGAAGCTTTTTTTTTTTTTTTTTTTTTTTTGACCTAGTTGTATTTTTAGACTTGTGTTCTTCTCAGTCTTCTGACCTTCCATGGTTAGCATCCATCCTAGCCATCTGTGGTAATCTCTCCCTCCCTCCCTCTCTCCCAACAAAGGTCATTTTTAATTTGCTGGTAAGACCTTCCAACATGCCGACCCTCTGGGAGATACTTCCAATGTCTGTGTTGACGTACAGGTGTGCATGTGCCTTTATCTTCTTTTCTTCTCCTGGGGATAGAGTTATTAGTTTCAACAAGTGTTGCAAATGCAATGAAAAAATCATGTGCTAAACCCCTCTAGTTATTTGTCATTGACATGTTCAGCACCACGCAGTAGACACTGGCAGCCCTGCCTGGCCTGAGTGCAGCTTGGCTAGAGGGAGACAGTGATGTCATTTTCTAATCTCAGAGCCGTGGGTACTACTGAGCTCATTCTGACCACTCCCCTTTTCCCAGAGAAACAAAAGAGGCTCAGATTCACTCCATGTCTGTCTGTCTTCTCTGGGTTTTGTCTGGAGAGGGTAGCATGGTTGGACTTGAAGACTTAGATGTCTTCATAAAGTCTAGTGACAAGGAAACATTTCCTAGGCCTGATTAATCAAAATAGAAATCATTAATATGTAATACTTGAGCCCCAAAGTAAAAGTTCTGTTTTAAAAGGTTTTTATTATGAAACTGATAAATTCTTTAAAAATTAAAAGACACAGTGCATTTGTTGTTATTCACAATAGGTACTATTCCTGGTGGATGGTAAAGCAAGTCCCCTGAAATTGTGACTGTTGTATGAAGTCATGTGCAAAGATCCCCATGTTGATTCTTGTGGGTAGCCATAGCCATTGGGATGTAACTAACAACAGGCCAGCAGACCATACAGCATTCTGATGAGGACCAGCATTCTGATGATGCTGGGCTTGTATTGGTGCTGCTGCAGCTGCAGCTGCTTGTTGGAGTGAAACTAAATTGTGTGTTTTCTCTAGGATGTATGTGAGGTACTCAGGAGAGAAAGAACATAGATAGTAAATCCCATCTTGCAACAGTAGAGACATAGAAGTGGGTTTATGTTAATCCCCTGCTTAATCACCCAGCAATTAAGAGTCACAGCTTGTAACAAATTAACAAGTTGCCCAAGGGCAGACTCCTCTGGTTTTATCATGCATTTTTTGGGGGTATCTGATATGTCTACATTTTCCTTAGTAGACATCTTTGTGGTCTATATATTTGGCCTCCAGTCGTACATTAATTGCAAGGAAGCTTGCTATTTTGTTGTATATGTGTTTATATTTCAAGGAACTTAGAGAAAACAAACTGCTTTGTCTGGCATGTCCAGGTTGAGCTAGTAACTTCAGATAAAAGTCTGCCTTTAGAGATAGCAGTGATAAAATGTTGAAGGCTGGGCTTAAATGCAGCCAGTCTTCTCTGCTAATGTTTGTAACAAACTGTGTTAAGAGTCAGACCCGCTGGCTGGGCGTTGGTGGTGCACGCTTTTAATCCCAGCACTTGGGAGGCAGAGACAGGCGGATCTCTGTGAGTTCGAGGCCAGCCTGGTCTCCAGAGCGAGTGCCAGGATAGGCTCCAAATCTACACAGAGAAAAAAAAAGTCAGACCCAGTAAACCCAGATTCTTTTCTTCCTTTAAACTTTCTTTCTCATAGGATTCATTGTAAACATATTAAAAAAGAAAAAAAAAAGCTTTATTTGAAAATTTTACAGTTGAAATGAATTTTCATCTTACAGATTACATACAAATGTTTTTGGACAGTGAAAAGTGCTTAAAAACCAGCTGCACCCAGGTTCCCATGTAATTTCCTATGTGCAGAACAGGGGGTGTGGAAGCCATGTTTCCCTAGCATCAGGGATTCCTTCTCCCTTCCTTGCTCACTGCCCCTCTTGTACTGTCTGCTGTGGTCTAGTGTGGTGTCATAATTGTTACTTCGGATGTGCACAACGACACAGGCCATAGCTGTGACCAGTCAAGCTTGGAAGCCAGTGGGAGGTGATTGGCATCTCAACTGTGATAGCTATCTGAAATACCACTGCTTTTAAGGAAGTGAACTTGTCGGGTGCTCCTTCTTTTCTGAGACTGGAGAATGCAGAGTAATCAGGGAAGGAGCTAAAAGCAAGCCTTGGTAACAATAACCAGAAAGCACCCATCAATTTTCACCCTGTGAAGGCTTCCATGCCCATTTTCCATTTTCTGGGCTCATTTCTAAAAATGAGCAAAGCATCAAGACTCCCCAGCCAACATTTATGTAATTGGCTTCTGAGGTTTAGGTCTGAGCTAAGTGAGGCCAGGCTAGGAAGCTCAGTCTATATAGCAGAGAGGTTAAGTCTCATATTAAATTTTGTAGCGATTCCAAAGGCCCACCCAATCAGTGCAGCTGTTTTTCATTGTGTGTCTTTGAATTTTCTGTATGATACATTTTGTTCGGACTAAAACAAGTGTTGCTAGGTGACTTGGTCTCAGCAAAATGTGGACCAGTTCCACCCACTGGGGACACTTAGACATAGGCGCCCGAGCACTGGTCTGAGAACTTGGTGGCTCTGACAAGTGCAGCTTATGGCTTGATGGCAATACTTCTCTTCCTTCTCCCAGTGTAGACTTGGTCGCCTGAAAGCCCAAAGATGAATAGTGGTTAGTTAAATATGTGGCCTGTGGCCTTCTTAGGACAAGTGATACCAACAGTGATTGCTGAAAGTGGCTTGAAAGGTTAATCCTACATAAAACTTGTTTTCAAGTTATTTACCCGATGTGTTATCAGGTTCTTTCTCGCTCTGTGGCAGCTCTGGTCTCCCTCCTTCCCAGGTGTGCTAAGTCCCCCTTTCTGTATTGGTTTTTGAATTTCTCAGGCTAGCCCGGAAGCAAATGACCTTTTCTCTACTGAGCCCAGAACGTCAGAAGCCACAACATCTAGTCCTTACCCTTGTCTCCTTTCTCTCCTTTCTGCCCTCGAGGGCCTGGTGGCCCAGGAGGACCTCGTTGTCCAGCAAGGCCCCTGTCACCTGGAAGCACAGAGGGTGTGACATTAGTGCATGAATGCGGGGCTGAAGTTGTGGCACAGGGTGGCACCCGCAGAGGTGCTATCACTTACCTTTGGGCCCTGGGGTGCCCACTTCTCCCTTTTGCCCAGGTGGGCCTGGAATAGCTCCATGCACTGCAAGGAAGGAAAGAATCTGGCTTTAGACTAGACATTGCCAGAAGCTTGGGAGGTTAAGCGTTTGTTCAAAGCGACAGCTAGTGCTGGGATCTGGACTTGTACAAGGAAGTGAAGCTGGCTTTCACTGGTTTTCGCATCTCAGATACAGGAGAAAAAGAGGGTTGTTAGGTTGGTGTTTGTGTGTCAGGCCTCATGTGAGATTAAGCAGCAGGTTAGTGTGCTGGGGAAGCCATGGCAGTATGCTTACTCCGGAAGAAGTCCATGAGGTCCTGTGTCACATTGCTGTAGGCAGAGAAGACCTTGCTGATGCCAGGAGGGCCCTGGGGGCCAGGCACTCCTGGTGGGCCCTGGACAGTGTAGGCCATCCCTTGTAGTAGGCCTTGACCTGCAGAACAGCGGGGTACAGGTGTAGGGAGCAGACACCACTACACAGTGGTGGGCTGCAGCGGAAGTCAGTACCCTCAGACTGCCTCACTGAAAGCAGCTAGATCACGTGAAACTGCCCCGAGGAAAAAAAGCCCTGCAGCTTCCTTCTCCGTTCTTCCGAGACTGGCCTGCCTGTTGTGACATTCCGCCGGGGCCTTTGGACTGAAGGGCTGTGCTGATAGCTAGAGGGAGAAAGGACTGCTTGACTAACAACCTCGACAAAGTTCATGCTGTTGTCACTGTCAGACTTGTTCTGAGCAGAGTACCAAGGCCCCGGTGTGCCCTGCTCTCCACAGCTCAGGTGTCAGTACTGGGGTCCCTTGCACTGAGATGGTGGAGACTTAGGATAGGGTCTCCTCTCTTCCAGTCCCTGCTCATCTGATTCCAGAGTTGCTATCTTCACATACATTAAAAACAAGGGCCAGTCTGCGAGACCTATATGCCAAGGTAACCCTTCTGAGGCTCAAGATTTTCAACTTACGCTGCATGCTCTCGGACACCCTCACTGCCAGTTTGTTGTAATCCAGGTCTCCAGTGAAGCCAGCCCGGAATGAATCGCCATCGGTGCCATATAAACCACCGGCAGCTGCCCCATAACCTCCTCCTGGGCCGATGTCGGTGCCATAGGGGCCCCCATCTGCTGTACCAAAGGTTCCACCTTCGCCCAGGGAGCCTCCATTGGCTCCCCCCATGCCCATGGAAGAGCTGTAGGAAGTGCCTCGTCGGGCTGAGGAGCTGCTACCCCAGTTGTAGTTCTCCCTTAAGTGACTGTCTCCAGGTGGTCCCGGGGGACCTGGAGGGCCAATGATGAAGCTACGGACATCAGGACCTGTGGGGTGGGAAGATGCATTAGCCCAGGTGGTAGCTACAGAGGAACCTTTGAGGTCCTTGTCCATGTATAGAAGGACTGCTGACTGTCTTAGGCTGACTGCACCACTTAACCAGTAGTCATGATGGTTTGGCGGGGGGGGGGACACTTACTTGTGAGGTAGCTAATCAGCTCGCTACGGAAGTTGTCGCTGTTTTCAGCTGCATAGGTGGCCAGAGCTGCTGAGACACCTGGGGGCCCTCGAGGACCTGGGGGTCCAGGAGGTCCTGGGGGTCCTGGGATGGAGGACAGGCCAGCAGCTGTGTGGGGGGGAGAGGGAGAGAGGACGGTCAGTGTCCTCAGGAGAGAAAGCTGGATTCTCAGTGTCCCCTTGGCCTGCTGTGGGCCCTCCATGGGTGGAGTGACTGAGGTGGGGGGTGGGGGGCGGTGGCAGAGGATGGGGATGCTCACTACGCCTCTTGTGTGTGGGAGAAAGGAGGCCTATGTAGCCCCTTTCTGTTCTTCCAGCCTTCAGCCTCACGTCCTGTTCTCCTAGACCTTCACCAGGCATTAGAACCCTTACTACAAGACTGATCACAGGACTCATGAGATCTGCAAGGGCTACAGTTAGGAGCCCTGTTTCTTCCCCTGTCATGGCCCATGGCTCCTGACAGCTGTGTGGCCCTTTTCGGACCCCAGGGCCCAAAGAAAGAAACAGAGCTATTGGGGAATGGGACATTGATAGAGTTCCCCATGGTGGCCCTAGCGAAGATGAGGGATGCCCTCAAGGTCAGGCCGTAGCCCTTTGCCCTTCTCTTCCTGCTCCCCAGTGTCCTACTGTGCAGGTAAGATGAGAGGTCCTCCACGCTGATGCTGGACCACGCGCTGCCTGGCATCCCGGGTGGCCCAGGTGGACCTGGAGGTCCAATGATGTCCCTGTAGTCAGACCCTGGGACATTAGTGGGCAGTAAGGAATCAGTCACAGCCTGAACCAACGGTTCAGTTTCCATCCCAAACCTTTTGATTTTGGTTCTTAGGATGTCCCTGCTTGGTCTTACCTCGGAGCATGGTGAGTAGCTCCTCATAGGATGTTCCTGGCAGGCCAGGGGGGCCCGGTGGGCCAGGATGCCCAAAGCTGATTCCAGAACCTGGAGAACAAGGTCCCAAGTTGTTGGGGACTCACATGGGGCAGGGGAGGACAGACACAAATAGCCTGTCAGGGAGGAGGGCATTTAGCAGTTTGTACAGAGTGGGGTCTGAGGAAGAGAGAGAAGGGTGGTTGAAAGAAGATGGAGAGGAGTGAGATGCAGACGTCGTCTGGGGGGTGACACCCAATGGGGAGGACACTGAGCGGAGCACAGGTTGACGCTGCTTGACAGCTGCTGGACATGGATTGTGCATGCTGGGTATGTCTCAGACTTGCTCTGGGGCTTGCACTTTCTCTGAGCAGCTCTGGAGACTGCTGGTCCCTGCAGGGTTCAGTGCAGCTGGCAGAGGGGTGTGGGGTGGGGGGTGGGACCGGACTTTGCAGCAGTGGAGCCATCTCAGTGACGGTGGATGCCCTAGGCCTCACTCCATGCCCTTCTGACCACTCACTTGACATATAGTTGAGAATGTGTCTGCTCAGCTCTCCGTAGTCCAAGGACAGGAGGGACCCATCTCCACCAACTCCTGGGGGCCCTGGGGGACCCGGTGGGCCCACCAGGTGCTGACGTAGGAACTGCCACACATCATTCCCTGGAAAGGAGAGGGTCTGCTTTATGGATCAACCCAGAAACCCAGTCAGGTCCAACGGCCCAGCCTGGGAGTTCTTGGTTCTTGGGACGCACGCACACACAGGTCAGGGGAAAACAGCCTGCTTCTGGGTGCCTGCAGTAGAGGAGATGGGGGATTGACACTCCCATTTTGATACATTTGTGACTCCACACACAAGGTGGAACAGTGAGTGAGTGAGTGAATGGAGAGGACTTCCTCTTGCTTGTAGTCCTTACAAAGCTCAGCCCCAGACTGGACGGTGTACCCACCAAGAAGAGAGCAAAGAGGCCCTGCTGTAGCCCCTTGTAGGTGACTCACGTCGCAGCATGGCCAGGATATCTTCTGAGGAGGCAGAGGACAAGCTCACACCGTAGCCTGACGCTGTGGGAAGAAGACCTCGGGTTACCTCTTTGGTCTCAGAGCAGACCCTCTATGTCCCAACTCCGAAAGATCAAGTCAGCTAATCATTGTCTTTGGGCAGAATGAACAGGTGGAGCATTTCCGACTAGTCAGGAGGCCAGAGCTAGATGATGGCTTTTCTTTTTCTTTTTAAAAGATATACAGTGTTCTGCCTGTATATATGCCTGCAGGCCAGAAGAGGGCACCAGATCTCATCAGGGATGGTTGTGAGCCACCATGTGTTTGCTGAGAATTGAACTCAGGACCTCTGGAAGAGCTGCCAGTGCTCTTAACCTCTGAACCGTCTCCAGCCCAGATGTTGGCTTTTCATAGGGAATGCCATGTTCTAGAATATGCTCTAGCCTGACTCCTACTTAAATACTACCAAGCAAAGGTTGCTTTTTGTGAGCAGAGATGGGCCCATACTTGAGAGCATGCTGGTCAAATCCTTTTCATGCCTGCCCCTGCCATGCCTCTGTTCCCAGTGATCCTGTGTCTCCCAACTATGGTGGGTGATGCATCAAGGGTTGCGTAGTCAGGGGAAGGACACAGCACCCAGTGAATTGAGAGATGAGGTTTTGGGGGGACGTGGGGGACTTTAGGAGGAGGCCATGAGAGCACAGAAGAGTGACAGACTTACTCCTCAAGTAGCCGACCACCTGGCTTGCCAGCTGGGAGTAGTCGAAAGTCTCTCCTGTGATGGTGATGACAGGCCCTGGAGGACCTGGTGGGCCTGGGGGACCCTGAACTCCAGAGAGATAGGTCCTGATGCTGTCACCTGCCAACAAAGGAATGAAACAGTCGAGCATTCCGCTGAGAGCATCCGACCTCCCTGTGGTCAGGGGGAGGAGGGGAAACCTGTCCTGATCCACACAGGACCCGAGCCATGGCCAGCAGGGAGTGCTTTGCTACTAATAGAGAAACTGAGGCTAAGGTCTGTGCTGCCCATGAGGGTGTGGGCTGACAAGGCTCTCGTCAGCCATCCATGAGATATATCACCCCCACACAAGGATGGGAGGGGCATGAAGACGTGTGTGTGTGTGTGTGTGTGTGTGTGTGTGTGTGTGTGTGCATATTTTTTTGTTTTGTTTTTCGAGACAGGGTTTCTCTGTGACTTTGGAGGCTGTTCTGGAACTCGCTCTAGGTTGGCCTTGAACTCACAGAGTTTTGCCTGCCTCTGCCTCCCGAGTGCTGGGATTAAAGGCGTGCACCACCAACGCCCGGCTTGCATATTCATTTTTGTGCACGTGTGTAGTATGCACATATAGATCCCCAGGTTGGATGGAGATGAGGCAGATGCCTGGACGGGGATGTTGGCCAACTCTGACCTTCGGGCCAGGCTTCGTGGCTGGAAGACGTGGGCCTGCCACAAAGATGACGATCACAGCACTCCTCCTCCCTCCATCTCCTTCCCAAGGTGGGTGACTGGGCACTTACTCTGCATGTACTCTGAGATGTAGCGCTGGATATCCTGGCCAGAGCTGCTGAAGGAGCCTGGAGGCCCAGGGGGTCCTGGAGGGCCAGGTGGGCCCTGCCTGTACGTAGTGCTGGATGCTTCTCCTACAGGGAAGAGAAAGTGTCCTGACTAGGTTTCTTCACTCTAGGTCGGACCCAGACATTGTGTCCCTGCAAACAGAAGGCCACTTCCCCAAGGGCACAGAGATGGGGCCAGGCCAGACTGCCCGCTCCAGTCTCTCACCGCCTCATAGCCTCCCTTCTCTCAGGACACCCGTAGCTTGCAGGGCCTGCTCCATCCTCATCCTTGGTCCCCAGCCACGGTCTGTTAACTATGAATATGCATGCATCTTTCATTCCATACCCACAAGCTTGTGGCCTCTTTAACAGTAGCTCATGTGGAGTGTCTGGTTTAAGTTACCATGGAAACCAGAGATGAGATGAACGGAGCATCACCATCCTCAGTGTGACCCTCAGCCACACTTGGAGGATGGAAGAACTTTATTCTCTTTTAGTTCTTACCATGAGAGTGACCGCCAGGGATGCCAGGATCACCTGCAATCCAAACCGAGAAGCCCCATTTGTACCACCTTCTCCAGGCAGCTCCCTTAGTGGGGGGCTCAGCAGTCATCCCATGTCTACCACAGTCTTGCTTGCAAAGATACCACATCTCCCTTTGGGGAGGCTCCCTAAAATCCACAATTGCTGGTCCTGCATCCCTGTCTGAGCAGTAACACACACACACACACACACACACACACACACACATACACTGCACTCAGGCTGGTACATACTTAGCTATTCATAGTGACTCTCTGATCTATGTGTGTGGACCAAACGCACTTTGAATAAGCTCAGAGTTCTCGGGGGTCAGTTCTTGCCACCTCATCCCTAGCCCAGGTTGTGTTTGATGTACCCTGATGTCCTCTAAGTCCTGAAGGGCCTTGCAGAAGGACACCTACTGCCAGATACTGTGATTTCCATTGGCCCACGGTAAGAGAGGATGGGGACTCTGGCGTTGTGGGGCATCTCCTTCCACAGTCAATGAAGTGGAGATGGCTGGCAGAGTTCCTGACCACCCCGCCCCTCTCCTGCTTCCATCCCATGTTGCAGGCTGCTGAGCATGGGGCATGGCAGAAGTGCCCTTGCCTGTCCAGCCTCATCCAAACGCTTTGGCCACCAGGCAGATGAGCAGAAGACATTGACTTCTGGGTTCCCCGAGACACTGCTCTTACCTTGGTCTCCCTTGGGACCTGGGGGGCCAGGTGGACCCGGAGGGCCAGAGAAGAAGGTTTCTGTGAGGAAAGAAATGTTTGGAGTGTGGATGCAGTGCTGCTGAAGAAGCGTCAGCTATCACAGTACTGGACGCTGCAGCTACTCCGTCAACGCCTGCCGTGCGTGTGAGGGTGTGTGAGGGCGTGTGCTAAGAAGTTGGTGTGGTCAAAAGGTGGGCACAGAAATGAGTGAAAAGATGACTAGGTAGACAGAGGGGTCAGTGGGTAGATGGATCTTCTCTGGGGCATGTTCTGGCCTAATGCTTACTCTTAGGGCATTTCCATACTTTTTGTTACATTGTTGCATTTCTTTGTAAGCCTGTGCCTTTCCTACTTCATCTGACCTCTGTTCCTGGAGTCCAGGAGCCAGGCCTGGTCACCCAAGAGCAGAACTGGCTCTTCCTTCTAGCCAGGTTCCCAGTGTAGCTGGGTTGACACGACATACTTTTCCCACTTGTAGCAAATAATGGGATTTTGTGTTCACTCTCCCCTCAAAAGCCAGAATGGGGGAGTCTGTGAGCCAGTCAGGAAGATTGCACCGCTGAGGCCACAACAGTCACGCTAGGTCTGAGGGAGAAGTATGTCTGACCAGATGCCCCAAACTTACCTGAGTCAGTCAGGAAAGATCCTGGTGGGCCCGGTGGGCCTGGCGCGCCTTCCCCTGGGGAAAAAAAGCCCAGGACTCAGTAGTGCCAGCAGATGAGTCATGTGCCCTCTGGCAGGGAGGAGGCAGGGACGCCCTTCCCGAGGGCCAGCCCAGAAGGACCTGGTCTCCCTCCCATTTCTCCAGGTCTCCTTGTCTCCTGCTTCCCCTGTCCTTGTCCCCTCCCAGCAAGGAGTTCAGCTCTCACCTGGAGGACCTCTAGGTCCTGGTGGGCCTGGGATGGCAGGCCCTGAAGAAGACAGAGAAAGTGCTGGTCAGGGGGCTTCCTCAGGAAATGCCTCATGTCTCCCAGCCCTCAAGACTCCCCACCTCCCAAAGATCAGTGAGATCTCACCTGGTGGCCCTCGTGGGCCAGGTGGGCCAGGGGGACCCCGCAAGTCAACTCCTTCTGTAGAAGAAAGCAAACAGAAACAGAAGGCTATGGCCAGGCTCTTTCCCACCGTGCTCCTGCTCTCTCACCAGGATGGTCTTGGCGCTGCAATCCAGACCCTGATTGCACAACACCCTCTAAGACCCCATCTGCTGAGATGGCCCCATTCAGAAGCAGGGTGGGCTGCAAACTGACTGTGTGAGCGAGTGGAGTTCTGTGTCAGCCAACCAGACTTCACGCCCACTTCCGCATAGCTAGCTGGCAACTTTAGGCAACTTTTCATCCCCTCTCAAGCTCTGCTTCCCCCACCATAAACCAGGGCCGCTGTGACCTGCCCCATAGGCATGTTGAGATGACTCAGATGCCACCAAATGCTGAGCCCCTACCCTACCGCCTTCACACCGCGGAGGTTGGCTGCCACCTCGGCTGTTCGGTGACACAAGTGTTCAGGTGGGAGGCCCAGCTGCGGTCCCCTTGGGCTCTTGAAAGGGCTTTGTGGACAGGAGGCCACAAATGTCAGACCTCTTGTGACTGAGAGCCCAAAGTTGCCCATCGTTGTTCTCTGAGTCAGGTTTGCTTGATTCCTGCCAGCCACACTCACTCTCAAGGTCTCATTTGACCCAGGTCCTGCCAGAAGCACAGAGCCTGTTAGCTGTCCCATCCTTGTGACTGTGCCTCTCGTGCCAGGCAGCCCCTGCTCTTCCTACTAGCTTCTACTGCAGAGCAGGGAACGTGATCCTTCTGACTTTGCAATGACTCACGGTGCAGCTGCCCTGACCCTGACAATGCTGTCATCTCTTCCATTCCCTCCCAGTGACACCTGCCCGGGACAGTGGTTGCACTCACGGGCAGAGAGGACCTCGGAGATGGAGCTGCCACTGTTTATAAATGAGTCACCAGCAAGTCCTGGCTCCCCTCGTGGGCCTGTGGGGGGACACAGAGAGTTAGGGTGCACACCGCCTGCAGCAGAGGACTCCTCTAAGGTGGGCCAGATGTAGAGCGGGGCCTAGCTGAGGGAGGCTGTGGCCAAGTTAAGGAAGGGCAGGACCTAGAGAAGAGAGGCTGTATTCCAGCCCAACCAAAGGAAAGAAGACTGGTAAGTGGATGGCTGGCTGCTCCTTCCTCCTGTGGCCAAAACCTGTGGTGACTCGGACCAGCTTCCCAGAACTTTCCCCAAAGTTCTTCTAATACTTGGAGAAATCACTGGACAGTAATGTGATTATCAGGGTGACCATCTGAAGCCCAAGGCGGTGAGAATAGTCTGCTTAGCCTTGACTAGGACACCACAGAGACTAAGTCCTCTAGTCCTGAGGAGCCTGGCCCTCTCAGAAATATGGGCAGGGGTGAGGAGGCTTTGTGAGGCCCATGGTAAAGAGCCCAAAAGGCCCTAATATTTCTTCCAAAGTACATATATCCCCCTTTATCTAAAATTTAGAGACTTAAACCTCACCTGGGAAGAATGTCCCCCTGACTCAGCCCACAGCCTACAATTTTACAGGGTGTGACATACCTTGTTGTCCTGGGAGACCAGCAGGGCCAGCAGGACCTGAAAACAGTTATGAATTGTGGCAAAGGTTAACACACACACACACACACACACACACACACACCACAGGAAAAGTGGAAGAAAGGGCAGGTGCCTGGAGATTGATCCACAGGTATTCTCCCAGAGTGTGGATTAGCTGGCTAAGTCAGGAGTAATTAGCAACTTGAGGTCAGCCCCTTAAGACTCTCTGACAGGAAGGGGACCCCAAGGTGGGCAGGGCTGTCCCTTTCTTTACTGGTTGGAGACATCTTTGTCTCTCAAATGTCCCCACTCACTGGAGCGCACTTGCATTGGGTACAAATCATGTACCTATTTGAATATACATATTTTAAATAGTTAAAGCATGTAACAAGATAACAAGCATTTTGGAAAAATGGAAAACAAATCACAATTGCTTACTTTCTAAGCAATTGTGTTTCGTTTCATTTCAGCAGTTTTTTAAATGTATATTTTGTAAGGGTGTAGTTGTAACCACAGCGCTCTCACAGGCCCTGCCAGTGGAACTCCTTTAAATAACACTGCTGCCCCCCCCCCAGCTTTCTTCCATATTTCTGCAGCCATCTCATCCTGCTGGGGGATTTGAGGGTACTTTCTCCTCACAGAGCACTGGCAATTGTGTTTCCCCAGATACCTAGTATATTATTTTCTAAGAAACAAAGAGTTCAAGAGCCTTTCTTCTTCTTCTTCTTCTTCTTCTTCTTCTTCTTCTTCTTCTTAATATCCCCAAGCCTTTTTTTTTTTTTTTTTTTGGTTTTTCGAGACAGGCTTTCTCTGTGTAGCTTTAGAGCCTATCCTGGCACTCGCTCTGGAGACCAGGCTGGCCTCGAACTCACAGAGATCCTCCTGCCTCTGCTTCCTGAGTGCTGGGATTAAAGGCGTGCGCCACCAACGCTGGGCCAAGAGCCTTTCTTCTAACTGGCCCATACTCTGGGGGCAGAAACCCTCCCCTGCTGTTGGTTGGCTGTGTGACCCAAGGTAAGTAGTTTACCCTCTCTGGTCTCAGCCTCTTATCTGCAAATGCTGAGATCATGGGCTCTCTGGAGCCCTCCTTTCTCTTTCCATGGTTCATACCCTTGGCGTCAGGGTTTGAACAAATGTGCCTAGAATCTGTTGCATCCATAGCCTGCTGCTAATTGGGAGAAGAGCAAGGAGACAGACTGACCTGGGGTCCCTGGAGGTCCTGGGGGTCCCATGGCACCGGGAGGTCCGGGAGGTCCGGGGACAGTGATAGTTGATGATCCCTCTGGAAACAGAAGGGGCATGGAACTCTGAGCCCCACTTATCCCCTTCAGAGGCGCCAGCACCCCGGAAGGCTGCAGGCGAGGCAGGCTGGACTCTGCTTCTCACCCCTGAAATGTTCTTCTTTTCCTGTGCTGATCTACAGAGCCCACCTTTGCCTCGCCCTAAGCATCGCCCACCCGCTGGCAGCTGACTTTGAGGCTGGCCCACACAGGACAGGCAAATAGAACTTCGGGAGGCACTGGTGAACTGCAGTCATGACTCTGCCTGGAGCACCAGGTTCACCTAGGAGGACAAGAGGAGTGGGCAAGAGGATTAATCAGTGGCTTGAGGAGTCATTTTCAAAGTTTCTGATTGCATTTGAGGGCCACCTGCGGCCCCCTCGCCCTCAAGCTAACGGGATTTGAAACCTGGTGAATGGAACCTAGGGTACACTGAGCATTTGTCTATCAACTTAGACCCAGGGCCCAGAGCATCAGTCCTCTCTCAGGGTAGGGGCTTCCTGGGAGGCTGTGGAAGACTTTGCCCTTCCATGAGACTCATTCTCACCACCCCCTTCCCCCATCCTTCCTTCCTGTAATGGCCGTAGGTGGGAAACTTAATCTGAAGGTCAAAGGGCAAATAAAAGCCATGGTCTTGTGTGTGAATTCTAATTCCCTGGGTGACAGGACTGACTGGGCAGCGTGAAAAGGGTTTTGGCAATTGGCAAACCTGGGTGACCCTGATTACACACAAAGTCATGGCTCTTTCATGCCATTGGTCTTAAGTGACAAAAATGCAAGTGTGAGGAAAGGACTTCCAGGATGAGGACACAGGATTCGTATGCCCCCAAGCACATCCACCACTCATGTGCCTCTTGACTGTTAAGCCATGGATGGATAGACTTGAAGACACCAAGGGGGAAGGTAGAGCATCCTGAGGAGAAGGTAGAGCATCCCGAGGAGAAGGTAGGGCATCCTGAGGAGAAGGTAGGGCATCCTGAGGAGAAGGTAGAGCATCCCGAGGAGAAGGTAGGGCATCCTGAGGAGAAGGTAGAGCATCCCGAGGAGAAGGTAGGGCATCCTGAGGAGAAGGTAGAGCATCCCGAGGAGAAGGTAGGGTATCCTGAGGAGAAGGTAGAGCATCCCGAGGAGAAGGTAGGGTATCCTGAGGAGAAGGTAGAGCATCCCGAGGAGAAGGTAGGGTATCCTGAGGAGAAGGTAGAGCATCCCGAGGAGAAGGTAGGGTATCCTGAGGAGAAGGTAGAGCATCCCGAGGAGAAGGTAGGGTATCCTGAGGAGAAGGTAGAGCATCCCGAGGAGAAGGTAGGGTATCCTGAGGAGAAGGTAGAGCATCCTGAGGAGAAGGTAGGGCATCCTGAGAAGGTAGAGTATCCTGGCATCCTGGGGCCAGGGGCCAGGCTCAGTGGTAGAGAGCCTGTTGAGCATACTTGAGGCCGGGAGTCTTATTCAAAGAACTAAAACCTGAAGCTTCATCGACCAGGATCCTTCCAGGGACTCTGGAAGTCTGTGAACAATGACGTTAAGCCTCAGTGAAAACGGGTGGCTTTGATTTCCTCTCAGGGCTTTGCTTGCATTCCTCCAGCAGGACATCAAGGCCACAGCAGAAGAAAGTACTTGAGTTTGTTCTGAGAACACAACCTAGCAATTGATAACCTGACTCTGTGGTGCATCTCATTCAAGGAGGGTCCGAAGCCCCCTTGGACAGGAAGTCACCAAGGAATAGTTTGTGGTGCTATCCCTAAGCCTGTAATGCCTCACTGAAGCCACCAGAGATTTGTTGGCCTGGGAAATATGAACTCAACTGTCATATTTTAGGGTTTAATTCATTTATCTTCCAAGATCTTTTTGACTCAACTGCTCATTGGAAATGATAATTTTTTGAAAACCTTTTTTTTTCCTAGGGTCCCACCAAGAGTGACTGTGAGTGCATGTGGTGGCCAGAGTGTCAAGGTTCAGGAGCATGGGGACACAGGAACAGAAGACAATGTGTGTCCCGGAGCACCTGGCATTCCTGGCATTGTTCAGGGCTGGGGCCTGATGGGCAGGACTGAACTAGAGCGTCACTGTGTGCCTAGGTAGTACTACATTGCACTAGCCAGACCTCTTTTAGTCATTTAACTTTGTCCTTTAGTGGGGTTGAACACTCCTTCCTTTCTGTGTAGAGAGCTGTTTCTTTATGTCTGATGTCCTCAGTTACACCTGGGACAGGGTAGAGGATAAGGCCAAGGGTGGCTTTGGTCTCAGAAAGCGTCAAGTCAGCGGGGATGGAGTCTAGGTGACAGGAGTATTTTAGAGGCAAACAAGGGCTTGGAAAGCTTGGGGACAAGCAGTTCCCTTTCCTATCTTCCTGCCACAAGGGCCTGGGCACATGAAAATGAGTCTCAGCCGAAAATGGCTGGATGGAGAGCAGGGGGGCCTGAGGACTCAGGGCCTGGATCGCTCCATACAAATCTCAGAGCTCCTGCCTCCCAGCCTTCCCTTGGAGCCACTAGATGCCACTGTTGGTCCAGGCTCTGGTCAGAGCAGCCCTCCTGCCTTCCAACCCCTTCCAGCTGCAAAAATGGTTGATGGAAAGAAAAAAAAAATCCTTATTGGGGAAAATCACATACCTTTAGTCCCCGGTCGGCCAGGGCTACCAGGAAGTCCTGATGTGATTAAACACAAGTCAGTCAGGATGACTAAAGCCCAGCAGTTCTGAAGTTTGCCCCCTCCCTCTCTTTCCTGTGACAATAAGCAGCACTCTGCCACTCAACGTGGCCACATTGGCTGCTTGATGGAAACAGCAGGACCCAGGTCTTTCCCTGAGTCACCTGGAACAGGGGTGGAGGCTCTCACCCTGAGCCCTGTCTGTGTCTGAGCAGTGGAGGCATAGCAGG